AGAGGTTGTGGAACCCGCGGACGCGGACGTTCCCGCTTTGCTGCAGGTAAGGACCCATATTCCTCCACTGTTACCATGTACCCGCACGGCGGGCCGTATTTCCCTTTCTTTCCAGAATTGGGCCGCCCTATGCTCAGACACATGGATCCTACAAACTGTACAGGGATATATCATAGACCTAGTGGGGACCCCCTTTCAGGTTCAGCCCCCTCGCCCCATCCACATGTCATCCTCCGACCACAACCTCGTCAACGCGGAGCTACGCGAGCTCCGAGACAAAGGGGCTATCCAGCCGGTCCGCGATGGGGGTGGTTACTTTAGCAACATCTTCCTGGTTCGGAAAAAGTCGGGAGAATACCGCCCCGTCATCAATCTACGTGCCCTCAACGCATATGTGGTCTATCGCCACTTCAAGATGGAAGGCATCCACCTCCTGCAAGACCTTCTTCGAAGCAACGACTGGTTCACCAGGCTCGATTTAAAAGACGCATATCTGTCTGTCCCGGTGCACCCGGACTGTCGAGCACTCCTACGTTTCCTCTGGCACGGACGCCCTTGGCAATTCACTTGCCTCCCTTTCGGGCTCAGCCCCATGGTACTTCACCAAACTCCTAAAACCTGTGGTGGCCCACCTAAGATCAAGGGGCATTCGATGCATCATCTACTTAGACGATCTCCTCATCTTCTGCGCCGACGAACACAGACTACGCCAACACACTCACCTGGCAGTGTCCCTACTGGAGTCTTTGGGGTTCGTGGTAAACCAACAGAAATCGGAGCTGACCCCTACCCAGACGATACAATTCCTCAGCTTCGAGATCGACTCGACGACATGCACCCTGAGGCTACCAGCCTCAAAGATCACAGCCATTCGCAAGGAGATTCGCAGGGTTCTCCGTCTCGATTCCATTCCACTACGCAATCTGGCCAGGATTGTAGGACTCCTCTCTGCTTCCATTCAGGCCATATTTCCGGGTCCCCTCCACTACAGGGCCATGCAACGTCTCAAGGCGAAATACCTACGCCGCAGGCCTACTTACGACCAACCCGTCCCGGTGACGATGGAGGTTCGCGAGGAACTATCCTGGTGGCTGGACAGCATGCAAGCCTGGAACGGCAAGGCCATATTCGGAGACACTCCAGACTTCGTACTGGAATCAGACGCCAGCCTGTGGGGATGGGGTGCCACCAACGGAACCATCTCCACGGGGGGAACATGGACGGCGCAGGAGCTCTCCATGCACATCAATTGCCTCGAACTCCTGGCAGGATCCTTCGCGATCCGCAGCTTGGCCCGGGAAAGATCCAACTGCTGCATCCTCCTGCGCATGGACAATGTATCCGCAGTCCAGTACATCAACCGTCTGGGAGGCGCTCGCTCACGCCTGCTGTCGGATATCACGAGAGACATTTTCGACTATTGCCTCCCTCGCAACATCACGCTACAGGCGGAATACTTACCGGGAGAAATCAATCTCACAGCCGACTGGTTCTCTCGCCACTGGAGAGACGTCAGCGACTGGAAGCTAAACACGAGAATCTTCAGGGCCCTTGCAGCCCGGAGGGGTCCCTTTCACCTGGATCTGTTTGCCTCTCGCAACAATCACCAGACCCCGGAGTTCTTCAGCTGGCTCCCGGACCCGGAGAGCAAGGCGACAGACGCATTTCTCCAACAATGGCCGTCGACAGGAGCCTACGCCTTTCCCCCATTCTCCATGATTGCGAGAACACTACACCAGATGCGGACGCAACAGATCAAACTGGTTGTCATAGCGCCCTTGTGGCAGAGCCAACCATGGTTCCCGGACCTCCTGGCCTCCTCCTACAGGGACCCTCTCCTCCTACCGTCCTTCCCGGACCTGCTCACGGATCCCAAAGGGTATCTCCACCCACTACTCCTGGAAGACCGGCTACCCCTGGTGGCTTGGTCTCTTTCCGGGGTTCCTGGCGAGTCAGCGGACTATCGCAGGCTGCTAGGGACCTCTTATGGGACTCATGGGCCCCGGGAACTAGACGCTGTTACCTTTCAGCTTGGGCCTCCTGGTCTACTTGGTGCATGGAACGGGACTCCGATCCCTTTACAGCACCTATTCCCATGATTCTTAATTTTCTTTCCTCCTTGTTTTCATCTGGCCGCTCTTACCGTTCGGTCAACGTCGTGCGCTCCGCGATTTCGGCGGCTCACACCCCCGTCGGGGATCTCCCGGTCGGCAAAGACCCTCTGGTCTGCCGTCTACTCCGCGGTATGCGGCTCCGCCGTCCCCCGGCCCCCAGATACCCTCACCTATGGGATGTGGGACTGGTTCTCCACTTCTTCAGGGATTGGCTTCCAAATGACCGCCTCTCCCTACGCCAACTATCCGCTAAGTGCGCTTTCCTCCTCTGTCTTGTAGCTTTCCGACGGGTTTCGGACGTTCGGGCCTTCGACGTGGACGCTTTCGAGGTGGCCCCTGAAGGGGTCACGTTCCACATTTCCCGTCGCACTAAGTCGGGTTCGACCTCGGTCTTTTACCCATTTTTTCCCGACGACCCGCAGCTTTGTGTCGTGTCCACCCTCCGCAGGTATGTTTCGGTTACCTCCTCGCTCTGGTCCTCTACGTCGGGCCAACTCCTAGTCTCCTACGTACGCCCTCACGCCCCAGTCTCGGTCACCACATTGGCCCGATGGATCCGCTGGATCCTTTCCCTCGCAGGTATAGACCCTGCATTCGGCGCCCACTCCGTTCGCGGAGCAGCGGCGTCTTCAGCCTTCCTGGCAGGGGCGTCCCTTTCGGATATTCTCCGAACGGCGGACTGGTCTAGGGAATCCACTTTCCGTATATTTTACTTTCGCACTCCCCCTTCTGCTGGGATGTCTCTTCTTCAGCGTTAAAATTGCAAAATAGGAAGCCTCCTGTCATGTTATAAAATTGAAGATTATGCTAGCTTTAGTGTACTAATAATCTTAATTTTAATAAGGACAGGAGGCGAGTATTTTCCCTCCCTTTTGTTCCTTACCCTGACTCCTCGGGGGAGTGGATCTTAAGGTGATGGATTTTGGGATTCATTTTAGTAGTTCATCTATCTTCTGGACATATTCGGTATCCCTTCCATCTCTATCCCCAGTGTTTCCACCTAGACGGACAGTTTAGTTGTACTACATGCTTACACCTAACACATATTTAGCCTATGGCCAGCTTACAATCTGTCTGTACTGTTTAATTTACACCATTCTGTTAAAGCCCACAGGCGTAAACAGTTACGGTTCAGTACCTAACCGATTTTATACTCTCCTTTCAGTGTAACCCTCTTCAGGACCTCCACTGATCGCTGGTTCGTTAACCTCATGACTCCGTAAGATGGGATGAAGGCTCCGTTTGGTCTTACCTCCAATCTCGTTATCAGGAGTCTCCTCAAGTTCCGCTCGCCAGAGACTGCAGTTCCTGTTTGTTGAGTTTCTGGATGTTCGAGCTCTGTCTGGACTTGGATGTCGCTTTAAGAAAGAGGAAGTGTACAGGCAGCATGACCCTTATATACTATGCTGCTCAGTGATTTATTTGTTACTCTTTACGTTTTTCTTTACTGCTGTGGAGTTTAGTAAAGAGAGTTAATGCAAAATACTCGCCTCCTGTCCTTATTAAAATTAAGATTATTAGTACACTAAAGCTAGCATAATCTTCAATTCCTGGCAAACACTCAACACTCGCCCGAAGATAAGACGGGGAATGTAATTTGGAAAGTGAAACTGCTTATATGCAGTACGTCACTTCCGGTATGACTCACTGAGTTAATAGGAACCAGCTGACATGAACATACCTTCAGATTTCCGGATTCCAATTGGTCGAACCCCATGGAGAACCATCAGTCAACTGAAACATCGCCATATTTAACATATGGATTAGAATTGGAGCAGCATACACAGACTGAAAAAGCCCTTACATAGGGCAAAACGTGTCTCAGAAAGGGATCCATGGTGGACATTTTCGATTTGTATAGTGATACTTTTACTTGTTTATTTTTTAACTGTTTGTGCGGAGTTTTAGTTTTATAATAAATCCATCTACACTTCAAGTCAATGTTGGGTCCTCCATTTAGTTGCTCCAAAAAAGGATGGTGTCCTTTTTATAGACACCTAAGCCATTCTACCCAGAGCCAGGTCCATAGGCTCTGGACAAGGTGAGCAATCATTTTCACATTTATATATTGTGACATACTACACCAGAAGGTATTTCCTGTTGTGTTGCTTTTGTCATTTTCTCTGAGGAATACCATTTGGAACAAAAGGGGAAAAGTGCCACCAGACGGCACTTTTGCTGAAGAGATCTGAGTCTGTCCTATCTGAGGCTCTACTCCATGTGAGTTGCCCAATACGTCTCTTTTCTTATCATAGAATTTTGCTATGTGCTTTCCCCTATTCTCTCTTTTATAAATGCCTTGATATTTACGGGATTGGAATATCATCCACGCTCTTTTCCACTTTCTTGCAATATGTAACCCTGGGTACATATTTTAAAGTGGCCGCTCTGATCGCTCTTTGAGTCCCTCTGCAAACTGCAGTCTCAGCCAGGTAGGTAGCCACACTGTCCGCTCCGCTCACTCCCTAGTCCTTCTGCAGATAGGGTATGGTGTTGCTGCACACTCAACTCCGCTCGCTTCTACCCCTCTTCCATCCATGTCTCTTCTTCCCCCCTTCCACCCATGTCTCTTTTACCCCTTCCATCCATGTCTGTGTTCCCCTTCTTTCCATGTCTCTCTCCCCCTTTCAATCCATGTCTGTTTCCCTCCATGTCTCTGTTCCCCTCTCTGCCATCCATGTCTCTCCCCCATGTCTCTCTCCCACCTTACATCAATGTCTCCCTTCCATATTTCTCTCCCACATCTCTCCCTGCCTTCCATATCGCTCCCACCCATCCAGATCTCTCCCCCACATCTCTCCCTCCCTTCTAAATCTCACCCCCATATCTTCCCCTTCACATCTCTCCACCACATCTCTCCCTCCCATCCATATCTCTCCCATCCATATCTCTCCCTCCCATCCATATCTTTCCCCTACATCTTTCCCTCCCTTTTATATTTCTCCCCCACATCTCTCCGTCCCTTTCGTATCTCTCCTTGCCATCCATATCTTTCCCTTCCCAAAGAACTGGATACTATGTAGACAGCATCCGTAGCTTGGCATAAATAGTGAGCTTTACCTTAACTAATTTCATTGTCAGCTAGTCCACAAAACATTTGTTCCCTCTCAAGTTTCCATACTTACAATACATACAAGAGCATGTGAAGAGTAGTAAAATATATATATATATATATATATATATATATATATTTTTTTTTTTTTTATAAATGGGCCTATTCCATGGGAATGGGCCAGGAGCTGCAGCTCTATCATTTCCTATATTAATCCGTCCCCATCAGCAACATCTCTCCCTCCCTTCTATATCTCTCCCCCAGGTCTCCATACCCCCTTCCATCCAAGTCTCTCTCCCCCATCCATATCTCCCTCCCCCAACATTCAATTCATATCTCAGTCCTCACTCAACTCAGTGAAAGACTGCATTTTCCATCCTGCAGTGAAACACCTACCACTCTCAGGTACTGACTGAAGCTGGAAGATACTCCACCTACTGTATTCCTGGATTGCTAACATTCTCATGTATTACTATAGATTTGTAGCCATTTTACCTGTAGTTTTCCTGTAGTTTGTAATATTCTGTGCTTGCAGTACATACTATAGTCATTTAATGTTTCTGACCAATATTTCATGTAGACAGTTATTAATATTTTGGGTGTTAGAATTTAGTTGCTAAACTTTTCAATAGTATATAAACACATGTATACGCCATCCCCCCCCGCCCCCCTCCCACATCTCCCCTCCCCTCCTTTCTCCTCCCCAGTTGTAAATACCTCCATACAACTGTTCAATCCCATTCTCTGTTCTTCAGGCCTTACTCAACTCAGTGAAAGACTGCATTTTTTCTCCCGATTTCCCATCCACCCTTTCTCCCTCTCCTCCTCCCGCCCACCCAGGCTCCCCCTAAATATATAGCATGCTCCTCCAGCTGTTTGATATTTTCACCCAATTACCTCTTCTTACCAATAGCTGCTTCTGTTAACTCTTTCAGCCATCACCTCCAAACTTCCCCTGCTACCTCTTGTCTCAAATCTCCATGGTATCCTTTAGATTGTAAGCTCACGGGCCATCTAGCCAAGCACTTTGTATAAAAGAGCTCCAATGGCTAGATATCAGCTTACGGGCAGGGCTCTCTCTACCTCTTGTATTTGTCTGTGTATATTGTACGTTTCTCCACTAATTGTACAGCGCTGCGGAATCTGTTGGCGCTTCATAAATAGCAGTAATAAATAAATAAACATCTCCTCTTCCATTCCAATCTCCCCCAATCAGCTTTCCCTTTGATTCATACCTCCCTCCTCCTTCTCTGGCAGGCAATTGTTTCCCTCACAAAGCCGGTGCCCAAGGTAATGGTAGTGCTGACTCTGCTCTGCTTTTCGATATAGATAGAAGGTCCCCCTCCCTGCTGTTTCTCACCTGCCATAGCAGGGGAGGGGGGCCTCTCACTCTCCAGTGGTGCACGGTGTCAGACTGAGCGCTGGGTAGTCACCTGTACTGTGCATGCGGTTTCTTTATGGAGCCACACGCTGCCTAGGGGCAGCAAGTGCAAAAATCACTTGTCAGCCTGGTCCGCAAAGAAATTTATTGTGGGCCGCATGCGACCTGGAGGCGCGGGTTTCATATGTAAATGCATATCAGAACAAAAAAAACTAGTTCTGGGGAAGGCTGCAAAAAAGTCTGGCTCCATTGAAGGTTATAGATATAACATACTGTTGCTAATCCATTAAAAACATTCTTTATTGTTTTTATTTAGAAATAGTCTACTCAATATTGGCACATAGACATATTGTCTATGCATATTAGCACATAGATCCATCCAACATAATAAAATAACCATCTTGAGAGGATCTGCTGAGATGAATGGGAGAAACTGCCCAAATTCTGGTGTGCAACACTTGTTTCATCACCCCAAAACAGATATGGTTAAGGGTCTGAACACTTATGTCAATGTTGTATTTCATTTTTTTCTGACTAGTATATTTGCCATGGTGTAAAAAAAATATGTTTCTTGCTCTTTGTCATTATAGGGTATTGAGTGTAGATTGACCCGGGAAAAAATAATTTAAGCAATTGTTGAGTAAGCGTGCAATATACAAAAATTCAGAAGTGTTCACTTCTGAAAAAGCCTCTTTGTGGTGAAACGTGTTAAGTGTTATTTTACTACTTTGTATTGATTTTAATATTTTATGTACTAGTATATTAAATAAAGTAGTTATTTGCTAACCTCTGTTGACTTCACTCTGACCTTTCAAGGAGCTTGGAACTACATATTCCTTTGGTGAGGAAAATACCACCTGAGTGCTGTGGATTGAGCCAAACCTATTTTGCTTTGGTGGTGTTCCTCTGCATGAAAGCACTTTAAAATATATCTAGGCGTGGATTGTACCACCCAAGCACATTCAGATTGAGCCACCTTTCCTCTACAAAATGTAAGTGCAATTCTATTTGTTATATTCTTACTTTACGCAAGATATACTACACTATATTCTCCTGTTTTTAAATATCCCACTACCTCTGAGACTACACCTAGCTCAAGAAATACGTCAAGTTGCTACACCCTCTACTTAATTTATATAAAAAATACACAACTCTAGATTGTTTGGGGTAAAACATTTAGTCCACGGTATTCTCTTATTCTATTAGAACTTAAAGAATATATTTTTTTTCATTATTGGACTGTCAGGATTACTGTTTGATCCAGCACGTAGAACTGTACAGCACGGATGACAAATAAGTAACGTATTACCGGTCCTTAGAATGGCCGGATTTAACGTACAAAGAATAGTCAAAAATACTAGCCGAGGTCAGGGAAAACAGAAAGGGACACAGCGATGAGGAAAGCCAGGAGTCAGATTACCAGAATATAGAGAAGTCAATAAACAAAGCCAAAGTCAAAAACCAGGTAGAAAACTATAAACAGGAACGTGCTCTCAGACAACCACAAGGGAAACCACGACAGGGCACTGAGCAGGCTGAGAACTGGGCCTAAATACCCCTCCTTTAGTTCTGATAGGCTGTAACCGGCCTTTGACCCCAAAGTCAGTTACCAGGTTTCATTTGCATAATTGCTGCTCAGCATTAACCCTTCTGTGGATTAGGTTGCTGCTCGGCACAACTTTTCCTGTGTGGACAGTAAATGTCATTAATCACTTTTCTCTAAGCGGATGAATACATGACACCAGGTTTCATTTGCACAATTACTGCTCAGCATTAACCCTTCTGTGGATTAGGTTGCTGCTCGGCACAACTTTTCCTGTGTGGACAGTAAATGTCATTAACCACATTTCTATAAGCGGATGAATATGTGACATTACCCCCCCACCTGAAGAACGCCCACCGGGCGGACAGGACCAGGCTTGAGAGGAAATTTAGCGTGAAAAGCGCGGATCTTACGGCCCGCATGCAGGTCAGGAGCCGAAACCCAAGAACGATCAGCAGGACCGTAACCTTTCCAAACAACCAAGTACTGTAAAGTGCCCCGAGAAAACCTAGAATCCACGATAGAAGATACCTCATACTCTTCCTGACCACCCACCACCACCGGAGGGGGAGGAACACAAGGAACAGTATATCTATTGCAGACAAGAGGTTTGAGTAAGGACACATGAAAAGTGTTGGGAATCCCTAAAGATGCAGGAAGAGCCAGAGAGTAAGACACTGGATTGATCCTACGAAGCACTCTATAGGGACCAAGGAATCTGGGGGCAAACTTCATGCTAGGGACCTTAAGCTTGATGTTGCGAGATGACAACCAAACCCGGTCCCCCACTTGGTACACCGGGTTGGCACTCCTACGCTTATCAGCAAAATGTTTGAAGCGTTCAGCAGCAGCCCCTAGAGCAGTTTGAACCTTAACCCAGGTATCCCGAATGGAGGCCAGACGCTCATCCAGAGCAGGAATGGCAGTATCAGAAAATACCGCAGGGAGAACCGTAGGATGCCTACCATTATTGACAAAAATGGACTGTGCCCAGAGGAGTCATGAACAGCATTGTTTCTAGCGAACTCGGCCCACGGGAGTAGTTCGGACCAATTGTCTTGTGTGCTATTAATAAAACAACGCAAATAAACTTCTAATGACTGGTTAGCCCTCTCAGCTGTACCATTGGTCTGTGGATGGTAGGAGGAGGAGAAGGAGAGATCAATCCCCAATTGTTTACTGAACGCCCTCCAGAACCTGGACACAAACTGAGAGCCCCTATCAGACACAATATTGTGGGGGATGCCATGCAAACGGACAATTTCACGTATGAAAATTAGGACCAAATCTTGCGAAGATGGCAACTTCTTGAGAGGAATGAAGTGAGCCATCTTAGAAAATTGGTCTACAACCATGAGAATAGTAGTGAACCCAGCAGAGCTAGGAAGCTCAACAATAAAGTCCATGGATAGGTGGGACCATGGAATCTCAGGAACAGGAAGAGGCTGCAACAGGCCACAAGGAAGTGCATGAGTCACCTTAGAAACTGCACACACAGAACATGCCTGCACATACTCCTTTACATCTTTCCTGAGTGAATCCCACCAAAATGATCTAGTGATCGCGGCAGTGGACTTATTGATGCCCGGGTGTCCAGCAGTTATATTGTCATGGAACACTTTCATGATATTAACCCTTTCACATAGGGGAACGAACAGTTTATCACACGGTTTACCACTGGGCGCCTGAGGCTGGGCCTCCAGTATGGTGCCAAGCAGTGGAGAAGACAGTGAGAGGACAGTAGTAGCAATAATACACTCTGGTGGAATAATAGGAGATGTCATCTGTTCCGGAGCTGACTCATTATCAAATTGCCTGGACAAGGCATCAGCCTTGGTATTTTTAGAACCAGGTCTATAAGTAATGAGAAAGTTAAAACGTGAAAGGAACAGTGACCATCTAGCCTGTCTGGAAGACAAACGTTTGGCATCCCCTATATATGCCAGATTTTTGTGGTCGGTTATGATCAACAGGGGGTCCTTGGAACCCTCCAAAAGATGTCGCCACTCCTTGAGGGCAAGAATAATGGCCAACAGTTCTCTATTGCCAATATCATAGTTGCGCTCAGCAGGAGACATCTTTCTGGAGAAGTAGCCACAAGGATGCAATGGTGTTCCCTGGCTTTCTCTCTGAGAGAGAACAGCCCCTACCCCTGTCTCGGATGCATCAACCTCCAATATAAAAGGTTTACTGGTGTCAGGATGTTTTAGTATGTCCGCAGAGGCAAATCTTTGTTTAAGAGTCTCAAAAGCATTCACAGCCTCTTTGGACCATACCGTGCTACTAACCCCTTTGCGAGTCATATTTGTGATTGGGGCTATTACAGAAGAAAATCCCTTGATGAATCTTCTGTAATAGTTGGCAAAACCAATAAACCTTTGAATGGCTTTTAAACCAGAGGGTAATGGCCAGTGTAGTACAGCCTCTAGTTTTTTAGGATCCATTTGAAATCCCGATGCAGAGATGTTGTAACCCAAAAAGTGGACTTCAGGCTGGTCAAATATGCACTTTTCTAATTTACAATAAAGTTTATTTTTCAACAACGTCTGCAGAACCTGTTTCACATGGGAGTGGTGAGTTTGAAGATCAGGGGAATACACCAAAATATCGTCCAAATAAACCAAGACAAATGAGTAAATGAATTCCCTGAGTACATCATTTATAAAGTCTTGGAATACGGCCGGGGCGTTGCATAACCCAAATGGCATTACCAGATATTCATAGTGTCCACTACGGGTATTAAATGCCGTCTTCCACTCATGATTCTCTTTAATTCTAACCAAATTGTAAGCGCTCCTAAGGTCAAGCTTAGTAAATACTTTAGCTCCCTGAAGTCTATCGAACAATTCGGAAATGAGTGGAATAGGGTATGCATTTTTTACAGTGATTTTATTAAGTGCCCTGTAGTCTATGCAAGGGCGTAACTCACCACCCTTTTTCTCAACAAAAAGAATCCTGCACCAGCTGGTGAGGATGACTTTCTTATGTGCCCTTTGCTCAAGGATTCTTTGATGTATTCCTCCATTATTTTACTCTCCTGGGGAGATAAGGCATAAACTGCCCCCTTAGGTGGCATAGCGCCTGGAAACAGGTTAATGGCACAGTCATATGCTCTGTGGGGAGGCAATACATCGGATTGAGCCTTGTTAAACACCTCCTGAAGTTCTCGGTATTGTATGGGAACTCCAGGAGTTTGGGGAGTGGTAGTGGGAAGGTCAATAGTATCCAATCTCTTTAGTACTGGTTTTATACATCTCCCCATACACTCTTTACCCCATTCTAATATCTCCCCATTAGCCCAGTCAATATAGGGATTGTGCTTACTCAGCCACGGAAACCCTAATATGATAGGACATGATGGAGAAGTAATAACCTGAAACGTCATCTCCTCCCTATGGGAGGCCCCAATGGAGATCGTAATAGGGACAGTTTTGTGGGTTATAAGCGGTTGTGTGAGTGGTCTACCATCAATAGCCTCTACAGCTAGCGGCGTAGGTCTCTCCCTGACCGGTATCTCATTACCCCTAATAAACTGGACATCAATAAAATTTCCAGCAGCACCTGAGTCCATTAGGGCACTGCAAGAAAACTTCTTGTTATCAAGGGAAATAGATACCTCAAGGAGGAATCTACTTTTGTTTTTGTTAGAGGACAACTCCATCACACCTAAGATCTGTCCCCTTAAGGTTCTTAGGTGCGGAAGTTTTCCGGACGCACTGGACTATTAGTTATCATTTGTCCCTTTCTACCGCAATATAGGCATAACACCTCCCTTCTCCTATACTGTTTTTCGGCCTCTGACAGTCTAGTGACCCCCAACTGCATAGGTTCGGACTGTACAGGGAGGTTAGACAAAACAGGTTTAGAGAATTGAGGTGCTAGGGACATAGCCGTACGTCTGGTCTTGCTTCTGGTGACTTCTCTGAGTCTTAACCTATTATCAATATGCATGACAAACGTAATAAATTCGTTAAGACTCTTAAGTAATTCTTTAGCGGCTATCTCATCTAGTATAGTCTCTGAGAGACCCTTTTTGAATGCTGAGATTAACCCATTGTTAGTCCAGTCTACCTCGGAAGCTAAGGTACGGAATTCAATAGCATAATCCGAGATAGACCGGTTACCTAGACAATTATTTGATTCACGTTAGTCCACATGTCACTCTCAAACCCAATTGAAAATTGAAGAATTATTAATTTTTATTACGTACATTCATGTACGTAATAAAATATTTTGCTGCTTACAAACCTACCACCATTTGACAATTCACAGAGCAAATGTTAGACAAAAGCACTCTAATAGGAGTCTTAAATAAAAACAAGTTGTTCCTGAAGCTTTTGGAAATTTACCATGTGAATTTGACTTTTACTCACATAATAGTAAGTTAAATATGTCACAATCTGGGACCCTGCAAATCCTTAATAATCTCATAAAATGCGTAATACAAAAGGTTCCGTCTTTGTATTATCAGATTTTCAGATTTTTTGTTACCAAATATGTGCTATGTACAAGACATTTTCTTCCACTTTATATTTAATAACAATAAACAGTGCTTTGTCGTCAGCAGTTACAGGTAAGTCATGCTTTATTTAATGTGCACCTGGAATTCATTTTTTCAATAAAACTCATTAATATGCAAAAAAAAACGTTTTGCAGATTACCCCATTGTAAGCCTGCCTCTTAGCCATGCCCCCCAATTCTAGCAAATTACCATCCCTAGCTCCATATGTACACATCTCATATTTGTACTGGCCAGTGATCTGAGCTAAAGAAAGACAAAAAACAGCATGACAAAGGACAGGACACCCAGGCAGACAGGTAATGAGATCACTAGGTCTCTGTTTGATCTGTGCCTATATTTGTCTTCCTGCACATGTCTAATAGACAGCGCTTCCATGGTGTTTTGTGTCCATCTGGCTATGAAACTACTGTTTAGTAGACCTGTGCAATGATGGACTTCTAACTGTGACCATAATTTCAGTTTGTGAACGGAATGGATCACTACCTGAAATGTTGTTGACATCATTATGCTGCCTA